ACGTAGTTCTCTTGTCTGTCCATGCTAGAACAATCCCCCATCTACGGCACCAAATTCTCACATCCAGGCGGGCATGGCTGGAAGGAAGCTTTTATTCGCCTGTTTGGAAGAGGGAGATAACATGCTTTGCTCTCTCCAGCCCAGTCCGCTAATAACTAAGTGGGACGGCCATACCACACAAGGCCGACTGACCGGCTTTCCTGGGGATCCAAAACAAGTCCTCAGATCGACAGGACAAGGGAAAATCTGGAAATGCATCAAGGGGCTTCACCAGGAGCCTGTGCTCTGTAGAGTGTCCCAGTTTGGCCACGTCACATGTGCGAGGAGAGACCCCTGCCGACACAACATCCATATCAAAGGGGAAACAGATCCTCATGACAGATGTTGTGAACCATGGGGATCCCAGCACGGAGCTCAACACGGCCTCCACGGACGTCCCCCGGACTCCCTGCTTCTCCACAACTCACTCAATAAGACCAGGCCCTCGCTGACCTTCCATATGGAAGTCTTCTCTCCACAGGCCACTACATACATCTCCACTCCAGCACAGCTGACTTCACTGTCTTATCCCTGATGGCTGGGCCTCATCTGGACAGTCCTCTGACTTTCAGAAAATGATGCTGTGATTCTCACAAAGGTCCGCAGAGTAAAGCCTCTTAGCGAGTAATAAGAAACTACAACAACAACAACAAAAAGAGACTCCTACAGAAACCTACAGTAATGATCTGCAGTCATACTAGAGTCAGAATGCAGAGCAAGGGGAAAGTGACAAGTGGCCGGTCTCCACAAAGCCCTCATATTTAAAACAAGGGTGAAGGTAGTAGGCTGCGCTCAACTGGGTCTGTCACTGCCACCACAGGGTCCTATCTTTGGCAGCTTCCTGCTGTCACAGTGAGCAGGGAAGAAGGTGCAGGTGGAGCACAACCACCCGGGGCCAGGTGGCCGGGAGATGACCGTAACAGAGACTGAGGAGCAGAGGAGGTGAAAGGACTTGACTCAGGTGCGTCACAGCTACCCAAGTGTGCCGCCATTACGAGAGCAGCGAAGCCCGTGAATGAAGCCATGACAGAGTTTTGAAGAACACTAGAGCTTGCTTCTTCACTTCAGTTCTCTTTTTCTACTTTATTATGAAAACTGGCAAACATAGATGGAAGTGGAAAAGAACAGACTATGGACGTTCAGCTTCGACACTGGTATACAGCCTCACGCTAACACTCATTTTCTTCTGAACCATGCGAAAACAAGTCACAGATGTCTTGACACTTCAACCCTAAACACTGTAGCATACACCTCCTAAAAATAAAGACATTTTCCTACATAACCACAATAAAATGAACACACCCCAAAAAAACTGACAATACTTTCCTTCTATCCAAAGCCTGGTCCACACTCAAATTTCCCTATCCTGCCCCATTTTTTATAGTTGTTTTCTTATAACCATGACTCAGTCAAGGCTCATGCACTTCATTTGGTTTTGTATCTTGTTTCTTTTAGTAAAAAACGATCCTTTCACCCCTAACCCTGTTTGCATTTTTCCCTTGACATTGAGGCTTTTTTTTTTAAGATACCAGGCCAGTTGCCTTGTAGAATACCCAACAATCTTGATTTGTCCATTTCCTCATGATGTCATTTAAAGTGTTCTCTATTCCCTGCTTTATAGAAACAAGGTGACTAACTTCCGCCTACCCCGCCCGGGCCCCCGGACCGGAAGCGCCAGGCTCGAACCCCAACCTCCTCGTCTGGCTTGAAACACCGGCGCCGCCAAGATGCCGGCTTACCACTCTTCTCTCATGGACCCTGACACCAAATTCATTGGAAACATGGCACTGTTGCCTATCAGAAGTCAGTTCAAAGGACCTGCCCCTAGAGAGACAAAAGATACAGATATTGTGGATGAAGCCATCTATTATTTTAAGGCCAATGTCTTCTTCAAAAACTATGAGATTAAGAATGAAGCTGATAGAACCTTGATATATATAACTCTGTACATTTCTGAGTGTCTAAAGAAACTCCAAAAGTGCAATTCCAAAAGCCAAGGTGAAAAAGAAATGTATACACTGGGAATCACTAATTTTCCCATTCCTGGAGAGCCTGGTTTTCCACTTAATGCAATTTATGCCAAACCTGCAAACAAACAGGAAGATGAGGTGATGAGGGCCTACTTACAGCAGCTGAGACAAGAGACTGGACTGAGACTTTGTGAGAAAGTTTTTGACCCTCAGAATGATAAACCTAGCAAGTGGTGGACTTGCTTTGTGAAGAGACAGTTCATGAACAAGAGTCTTTCAGGACCTGGACAGTGAAAGGAGCCTGAGCAGACACTTTCCACAGCCGTGGGCAGCATTTTACAGCAAGGTGTACACAGTTATTTGCCTTTATTTGATAAAGTTTTATACAGAAGAGAGAAGAGAGCATGTCTTCACTTGAAGAGCTCTTTTATCAAGAATTTGGGGCGGGGAGGGAAGAATGGGTGATGTGAAATTTTCTGCAGTATTAAGCTGGTGCTTAATAAAAATAAGTAAGAATAAAGAAATTTCTAACATTCCATGTCAAAAAAAAAAAAAGAAACGAGGTGAAATCTAAAGGCTAGTTCAGAATCAGCTTAAATATTTTTGGTGAGACTGCTTTGCAGGTGACACTCTTTATTCCTACTGCATCACATTTGGGAGGAATAATACTGAGTACACCTCAGAATCAGAATAATTTTATACATATATAGACATACATGATTATGTATATGTGTACATGTATAAATATATATGCATATATTTATACATATATATGGGGGGGAGAGAGACAGACAAGACAGACAACATGCCCGGGGTCCTCTCTGGCCCTGAAGAATCAGAATTTTGGTGAGGGAGATGCAGAAGGCTGGCTGGGCAGGGCTCCATGTTTGGAAGAGCTCCTTGGGTAAGTGTTGACAGCACTGTTGAGAAGCCCTGCCCTAAGAGATGCCACCCTGGAAGCTTAAAAAGTCCTTTACCAAAGGGATTTTACTTCTAAGAAATGTTTGCTGTATTTCTTTGAAATGAAATCACACTTTATATATGACGTATGAAAGCAGGGAAAGCTCTGCAGGCTTGGGGAGTAAAATACAACCTTAGAGAGAGGCAGCCCTTTCCAGGAGGACTGACTTGAACCAACAGAGCCCGGTTGTAGTGATGAGGAAAGCTTTTGCGTGACGAGAAGGAGGGGCCATCTTGCCGCTAACTTCAGAGCCCCCCCGTCTCAGAAAGGACAGCCCTGGGCTCCTGCCGCCTCCCTGTGACCTTGCCCTCGGCCCGCCAGCCTGCCCTCAGCCAGGCTGCGGGGGGCATCAGGTGCTGGCAATACCACGCTGGGCAAAGCGCACTACACTGTGGGAGCTGGGATGGCGGCATTTTAAGAGCTTTGTAAACAGACTCATGAGCAAATCTCAGCTCTGCCGCTGAAGAGTTGTGTGACCTTGGGCAAGCTATTCACGCTGCACCTTGGCCCGCCTCAGTTTCCTCCTCTGCAAAAAAAAGGGTAGCAACATCTTCGTCCCGAGGCTGCCAGGAGGAATGAAGGAGACAGCACACGAGGAATGATCAGCAGAGTTTCCTGTTCACTGTGCTCAACATACCTGAGCTATTATCAATCATTATCAGAGGATTAAATAATTTATTAATGATTATCATTTTAATCATGGGATCATATGACTAAATAATAGATTTACTATAGTAACCCATGTGACCAGAAGGACCAATACACTTCCGAGCAGATTGCATTTTGCTCCCACGTCACTGATGGTTTCTTTGGCAGTATGGTCTCCATCCCAGTGTCTTCTGGAAGGATAAGAGGATTAGGTGAGTAAAATTTATGTGCTTTTTGCCTTCCAAGAGTTGGAAAGACCCTCCAGAAGGCTGCTTCTTGAAGTGTGGTCCCTGGACCACCCCCCATCTCCTAGAGGGAGATGTAGGCCATCTGTTTTAAAAAACATTTAGTTCCTGGTCCCCACACACTGCATCAAACTTTCTGGAGGTGGTGCCAGAAAGTGTTTCTAACAAGCCCCCCCGCCCCCGAGATTCTCTGCACGGCGCCATCTAAGACCGGGTTGGGGGGAGGTCGCTGGCCCTGGCAGTGCCTTGGAGCTGGGGAGGGAGCCAAGAAGAGGCTTGCCCGGCTCAGGAGGACAGAGCCAGACCACCTGTCCTTGGCACAGCTCCTGACGTCACAGAAGTCACTGGGCCAGTGAATCTGCAGGGACGCAAGCTGCTTCCCCATACACGTGCTCTCCAGTGGTCCTTGTAGAGCATGAAAGAGCTCAAGCGTTCAGGACTCTTCAGAGCACGCCAGCAGCTCTCAGAACTGATGGACTGGGCTGGTCCAAAAAGCTCAGCACCTTGCATGACTTTCCAAAAAAAAAAAAAAATCAGCTCCCAAAGGAGGTTTTGCGAACTCTCAATTGCCCTGGCCACCCCCTCAAACACGTGGACTATGGAAATGTGGTCCTCTTGACAATATTTAAGAAGGGGCCCCAATGTACTAATCCATACGCTGTCCCTGGAGTGCCAGTCTTGGCATGCTCACATCCTCCCGCTAGCGACCACGATTTCCTTCCTCGCTCCCTCCCCGTCTCTGATCTGACTCTACCTGGAAAACTCCTGCCCTGGCTCTCAACCAGGACGATTTTGCCCCCTCCCCCTTGCAGGAGACATGCGGTGATGTGTGGACATATTCGGGGCTTGTCACAACTTGGGGCGGGAGGGGAGGGTGTGCTCCTGGCATCCAGTGTGCCAAGGATGCTGCTGACCGGCCTGCAGGGCACAGGGCAGCCCCACAAAGAGGCAATGTCACCAGTGTTTACAGTGAGAACCCCTTTCTGGAGGCTTCCTGCATAGAGCAGGGTTGACATTTGCAGGTGCAACATGAAACAGATTGCTAAAGCTGTTGCTTTTTAAAAAGGTCTAATGA